ATTTTTTAACCTTGCATTTTTTAAAAAAAGACGCCCCCTCCTAGTTATGAATCTTGCCAGGATGAAGGATCTGCTCTTTCCTTGATTGCTCCAAAAGGACCTTTTTTAGCTTCCTCCTTGTGCTTTGGCAGAGGTTGAATTGTCCTACCATGATGCAACAGAGGCAGGATTCATCTCTGAAGCGGTTGTGTGAGTGTACATTGGAGGCACATTTTGTATTTTAAAATACAAAGCACATCTGGACCTACGGTGTGCTGCCAGTGAATGGTGCCTTAACCCACTGCCTGCCACATCCATCTTCATCCTGATTTCTGCCAGAGTCACCTCCTCAGCTTCCAGCCACACAATAAACCCAATGCTTTCATCTCTCCTTCTCTGACATCAGGTGCCATTTTGAAACTATTTTGGGTGGGGGGAGGCACTTAAGGAGCTTCGAGGGGCATCACTGGAAAAGTAATGTTTGGAATACTAAGTTGCTGGAAACCACAGGAGGGGGAGAGTGTTCTTGTGTTCGAATCCTGCTGGTCAGCCACTGTGAGAACAGAATGCCAGACTAGATGGGTCATTGGCCTGATCCAGCAGGCTCTTCTTACGTTCTTATGCTGAGGTAAAATAAAGAGTCAGGACACCTTTGGTCCCCCAGGTGTTTCTGAACTGCAACTCCCATCAGCCTTAACAAACATGGCTGATGATCTGGGATGATGGGAGTTTTAGGTTAGCAGCACCTGGAGGTTTCCAACACATGAGGTAAAACACTTAAACATACCTTCCACTGCCACTTTTAATTCTCACCTTCCAGAGCTGCTTTTCCTTGTCTTAACCATAATCTAGAAGTGTCAGAATCAGGGGTCAACAAACTTTTTCAGCAGGGGGCCAGTCCACTGTCCCTCAGACCTTGTGGGGGGCCGGACTGTATTTTTTTTGGGGGGGGATGAATGAATTCCTATGTCCCAAAAATAACCCAGATATGCATTTTAAATAAAAACACACATTCTACTCATGTACAAACACCAGGCAGGCACCACAAATAACCCAGAGATGCATTTTAAATAAAAGCACACATTCTACTCATGTAAAAACACGCTGATTCCCGGACCGTCCATGGGCCAGATTTAGAAGGTGATTGGGCTGGATCCGACCCCCGGGCCTTAGTTTGCCTACCCATGGTCAGGATGGTAATGCTAGACTAGGCCACAGGTGAAGCCACCGGTCCATGCAGCATAACAAGCTTTTGAAACAGCTTCTGTCTGGCTCCTGGTCATGTGTGTTCATCCTAAGAGTTGGTCCTGAGGAATGTGCCTTTGCTAGTGGTGCCTGCAAAGCCCCTTTCATCCACACCCCCAGCTTTACCTGCCCCTCACCTGATGTCATATATGATGCTGGGATCTGGGGCAGGTGGGCATGGCTGGACTGGAACAGTCTTGCAGGCCAAATGGGGAGGCTGGTGGACCAAATTCGGGCCAAGCATTCCCCACCCCAATTTAAGGATGTAAAGGTAAAGACATAAGTACTATAAATTGGGCCCCTGAAAATGCACCAGCAACCAGGGCAACTGGTTTGATATTTGGGTAAGCTGTTCCCACTGCCTCACCCCTACAAGCGTCAAGGTGATGGCATTTTGCACCTGTTGACTTTTCAGTTCTTTGGTTGGAGAAACGCACAGCAAGTTTCGAACTGCTGTGAATTTCGGAGGATTGCCTTGTTTCGGTTCTCGTACCGTTCCAGAAACTGCGAATTTGATCCATTTGGCAAACTAAATTGAATCTCACCCCCTGACTCTTAACAATTGGCCATGCAGGATGAGATAACACAGCAGCCTCTGGAGGGCATCAGGTTGGGGAAGGCTGCTTCAGACCAAAGGCCAAACCTATTTAACCTTTCACCCTGCCAAGTAATTGCAAATCACATTCCGGGCACTTAAAGAATTGGATGGCTGGCTCAATCAGGGATGTCTGCAGATGCTGAGTAAATCTATGGAACCAGCTGTTAATTAGACTGCATGTCCCAAGAGAGAAAAAGTGAGCACTGATGTACATGGTTGTTTTCAACTTAAGGTCGCTGTCAAATTAGGGAAGAGGGGCAGGCAGCTTTCCCTCTCCTTTTTTTTGCTTTTCTACTCCTCTCCCCACCTCCCGTCTTGGTACAACATCAGGAACATCAAAGGCATCTTCAGGGAGTGTTAGAAGCCAAGCCTGCCTGCCAAGGCATTAATGAAATCAGTTTGCTGTTAGCCATTCTTTCTCTTCTCCTCCTCGTTGTCCTCAAGCAGGTGCCACTGCTGTCAGTAGTAATTGCAGCTAAATTCAGGGACAGCGGCAGGAACCAGGCAGTCAAAAGCAATCTTGATGAAAGAGGCTTTTGCTGGCTGGGGCTCGCGTAGTTTTGCAGCGAGCACTCACATGATATCCAACAGGAAAGTTGCTTTTGAGTGCTTTCCCTTTTAGCAGGTGACATTATAATTTATTCACAGATCTTTCTGAAAGAAGAAGAAAGGGGAGAGATCAGTAGGCAGGATAAAAGGATTGCATTCAAACGAAAACAAAAACCTCACTGCCTCTCTGGGTTGTATGGTACAATTGGCCATGTTTTTATCCCAAGTGTGCTCAAAATGTTGGGAAGGAGGGTCAGTAGACATGGGTGCATGTCTGCCCTTTTACAGTCTTTTCATGTGCAGAATCCTTAGTGATTGAGTGTCATACCATGATGTGGTCACATAACAGTGAACCCAAGCGTCCCTCTCCAACAGGTGAACTGAAATTTTAATACTTTCCTGATGGCTCCAAAACGCCTTTGCAGTAGCATGATGAAATGTCCGCCTGTGCTAAAAATACAGTGGTACCTCGGGTTATATACGCTTCAGCTTACATACGCTTCAGGTTACAGATTCCACTAACCCAGAAATAGTACCTCGGGATAAGAACTTTGCTACAGGATGAGAACAGAAATCGTGCTCCAGAGGCGCGGTATCAGCAGGAGGCCCCACTAGCTAAAGTGGTGCTTCAGGTTAAGAACAGTTTCAGGTTAAGAACAGACCTCCGGAATGAATTAAGCACTTAACCCGAGGTACCACTTTACTGGATTTGGTTGGAACCACATTCATGCTATTCCCAGCTGCTTCACAGTTAGGGAGAGGCAGAACTTCTTGATTCTGCTGCATATAGTTTTGGAAGAGCCCCAAATCAATCCATCACAAGTGCTTTTGGAGTTAGGCCAGGAAATGGAGCCCCATTGGATCTGGGGGTTTAGCCCAGCACAAAAACTTTCTGTTCCCCTAAATGAAAACTGTGTCTGGGAGGAAATTCTACCTGCTTCTTTTTTCTAACAAAGATTTGCAGTGCATCGATTTGAAGTTCTGTTTGGATTTCCAGTTACTTGGTTTAGTGCCTACGCCACTGTAATATATGTACACGCCCTCTCTGAAAGCAGTCGTGAAGAAAAACTTTTACTAGCATCTTCCAAATAGCAGCAGGGAGTTCCACAACTGTGGGGTGCAACAAAGAAGGCGAAACCCCTATTGCTCTTAAATCACTGACAATGTTCACCAGGATGTTCCTCAGATAGTCTTTGCATGTAAGTCGCACACTTTGGGTTGCATCCAAAGTAGTGCTAAGTCGCAAGTAATTTAACGGTATACTTTGTTCTGTTGTGATGAAATGTTTTGCACCAGCAGCACATCGTGTGGCAGAATGGATAAACTGGTGCAATTCCGTTGCACCACACATTGGACAATCTCTTGTGCAACGGTTTTCTGCTAGCATAGCCGTTGCCTCGGATCCCTGTGTTGCGCATCGTTAAAATTCACCCGCCTTCCCGCTAGCACACAAGTCCTTGCATAGGATGCAGCTCACAGATCTCCCTTTTGATATTTGCTACTTGGACATTCTGTTAGAATGAGACTTTAAAAAGGGAATGCATAGCAACAAAAATTATAACATCAAGAAAGCCTGAAGGAGACTCTTGCTCCATTACGGAGAGGAAATGGTGAAGCTGTTCAGTGTCATTTATTTCACGACACAAACAGGTTCACCTTTCCCTCATTAGCAGGCTTCCTTATAACAGAAGTTCTCTGAATTACAAGATGTGCACTACAAGTCCTGCCCTCAGGAACTCCATAGTAGGGACCCAGATAATCTCAAATCAGAACCTCATAATGATGGTATAGTTTTGGATAAAAGTTGCACCTTTTATTCAAGTATCTCTGAATTATTTACAGACGTTAGTTACATGCACGCTATCAAAGATAGTCCCCTCACAAAGCTACAATTCCCAGGCTGGTTTAGCAGTCGGCCTGCGTCCTTGAGAACTCTGGGAGTTTTAACTCTGTGAGGGGACTAGGCATCTCCTAATATTAGCGCCCTTAACAAACTAGTTCCCGGGATTCTTTGAGGGAAGCCATGACCGTTTAGTAAAATACTGCTTTAAATGTAGGGTACGGGTGGAGCCATTGTCTAACCTCCTTACGAACAGATCAGGATGAATGCTCAGTAAACGAGTTTGTCTGAAGCACCCACAATAAACTTTAAATAGATTAAAACGAACAACAGTGGCGGCAGCAAGCAAACATTTTGTCACCTTTCACCTGGCTGCCTACTTACTTTATTTTATTTGAAGCAATATGTAATTCAATGCTTGGTTGACCCATTGTCAACTTTTAAAAATAGGTGTATATTTGCTTGCTTGGATCGGATCTGTGTAGCAGTGTCACAAGAACTAGCCAACTTTTTTCATTTAAACTGTAACGCTCAGGGAAACAAAGCCATTTTACAGTTTGTTTTTACCCTCTCCTGAACGAGAAAGGGATTCATTTAACATGAATGTGTTGAGGGTCACCCATTCTACTATGCAAATACTGGATCTGACCTCGAGTGCTTAGATGCATCTTTTGGCTTTGATTATATCCCACCACACACACACGTGAAAGACATTTGAAAAGACCACCCAACTAGACTTGGGCCCTGTTTACTTCTCTTTCACCAAATGTGTTCAACTTGCTTTCGCAGCATATTTAACTTCTGGAGAAAACATTGCTTGTGATCAGCTGAGGATAGTTCCCGAAAGTGAAAGAACTGAAGAACAAAAACACCAAAATGAAGCACTTCCTGAGGTAACACTCCTATATTTTTGCTTGCATAGTAATTATCTTACTCTGTCTATTATAGAGCCAAGGTAATATTTCTGCATCGAGAATAGCTCCCATCTTGTGATCGGTTGAAAGTATAAATGGTCTCATTGTCTGTGCAGGGTACTGACACACCAATTTCACCGGATGTCCTGCCTAGCACCTTCCTCAACTGCCCTCAGTAGGCATTGGTTGTTCAGCCTGTCAAACCTGATTGGCAGCCTTAAGGACTGGGAGCATGAAAACTCAGAACAGAAGCCACAAGTCTCTGAAGTGCTAAATTTACGTGTCAAATGGAGAGGGTGCCATTTTGTGTATGTGTGTATGTGTTTTAGGGACTGTTGCTAATTGGGATGAAAATGTGCAGCCGTTGAAAAAACATTGCCCTGGATAGTTTTTTGTTTGACCTTGGAGACATCATCTCATGCACTTTGTGATTCATGATAGACAGGATGGATGTGAACAGCCCGGGAAGAATTGCTCTCATTCTAAACTGGCTTTGTTTACCATTGGTGATACCATCATGTAGCCAAATTCAATTGGCTGTGCAGCATTACGACATCATCATAACAACCACCTCCCCCAGTACAGGGCAAGATGGTCTTTAAGAGCTTCTGAGGGATGGGTGTCTACTGGTTATTCCATGGCCAGCAGATTGTCACTTGCTGACAATGCAAAAACAGGCCTTCTTGGTTATAGCACCCACCATCTGAAATGGCCTCCCTTGGGTAATTTGTGAGTTGAAGAGAATAATGACTTCTATATGCCTCTTAAAAATTTGTGTGCTTCCCCGAACTCTTGACTCTTAATTTTTAATTTTTGTTTTGTTTCGTCCCGCTCTGAGGTGGGTTGTGGTTTTTTTTGCCCTTGTGTTTTGTTTTTATCTATTTTTTAGGAAACTTTCTTGAATGCTGTTGCATTGTTATTTTTGTATAAACCTCTTAGAGATTTTTTTTATTAAATTAAGATGTATGAACCTGAACAGTATGAAGGACTCTACGATTTGAAAACAGACATGCTGAAAGTACTTCTGTTGCTCATGAAAAATCTTTAAATAAAAACATAAAAAGATGTATGAGCCATTTTATAAATTAATAAATTAGATTATCACTGATTGCCTGTGGCTAGCTCTAGAAGGAAGCCCCAACCAGGTTTTGAAAATGGTGTTGATGCAGCAGCTGGGAAAATAACGGCACTGAACTTTCACACATTTAAAAGGTGATTGGGGACATATTTCTGCCCATTCCTTTAAAAGCACTACAGAAAACAGAAAAACCCTGAAAGGAAGGTTTCTCTGGATGTTTGATGGAAACATGTTGACAGGTTTCCATTCACCCAGCTGTCCGGAAGCAGGTCTCCCTGGCCGCCTTGCAAGCAAGGCACCGAGAGTACACAGGGTGAGACCTGCTTTGCACCACTCCTGGAAGAAAAGAAATAGCAGGAGACGCTAGTCATTGCAGGAAGAAATAGCAGGAGACGCTAGTCATTGCTTATCTTCTCCAAGCTGCAATAGGGATGAGAGCAGATCTCCCTCTCTCCCAGTCCCAAGTCTCTTGGCACTTGCAGTTGGCGGTGGCAACCACAGATAATGGCTGGCGGGTAAGCCAAGTCATCATTTGTGGACCTCCTCCAGATGGTACCCTTCATAAGCTTTGTTCTGCAAGAATTAAACGCCTACGTTAATAGCAGACTGAGAGAGTTGCCCACTTTGCTGGTGTAAATAATCCTCATGTACATGGATCAGTGGTCTGATTCTGCATGAGACAGCCTCCTTTGTTCTTCCTAAGCAGGCGTCTGATCACGCTCTAGCAGTTCTTATATAATTTTTGAATGTATGTTTGATAACACTTGTGCACAGTTTTTGTCTTTGACCAGGGTAATGGCAGGGGTTTTTAGTTATCAGTATTTTTAGGAGCTAATTTGAAACAGTAAGCAGTTGATTTCGAGCCATATAGAAAGATCTGAGGAGTTTCTAAGCTAAATCTCAGTACGGCATGTAGCAGCTTGTAGATCTCTATGGACCAGTCTCCCAGGCGCTCTCCATGGTGCTGCTTGGCTGTTCATCTGCCTGAGTTATAAACTGTTACGCAGGCATACATAGGAGATATTGCTGGTTTGGCACCAGACCATCTCAATCAAGTGAATATCACAAGACAGCAAGTCCCACTTCTTGTTTGTTTGTTTCCCAGTGGCATATAAAAGTTGTGTTTACACTATACCATAGTCTTATTACCTGAAGGCGCGTCTCCACCACCATCGTTCAACCCAGATGTTGAAGTCCAGGTCCAAGGGCCTTCTGGCGGTTCCCTCACTGCGAGAAGTAAGGTTACAGGGAATCAGGCTGAGGGCCTTCTCCGTAGTGGAGCCTGCCCTGTGGAACGCCCTCCCATCAGATGTCAAAGAAATAAACAACTATCTGACTTTTAGAAGATATCTGAAGGCAGCCCTGTTTAGGAAAAATTTTAAATTTTGATGTTTTATCATTCTTTTAATATTCTGTTGGGAGCCACCCAGAGTGGCTGGGGAGGCCTGGCCAGATGGGTGGGGTATGTAATAAATTATTATTATTATTATTATTAGGCCAGGCCTCGCTGGCTGCAGGAACTGGAGGGGAGAAACCCAGCTCCAGACCTAGCCGGCTCCACTTGCATGATGAGAAGAGGGTATGACTGCACATGTTCTTGATTACGGTCTCATCCACACCATACATTTAAAGTACAACGTTTCCCCCAAAGAATCCTAGGAACCGTAGTTGGTTAAGGATGCTGGCGGTTGTAGCTCTGTGAGGAATAAACTACAGTTTCCAAGTGTGGGTGTGACCTCTTTACTTGGGTAGACCAAGTAAAGAGAATTTGGGGGTGGCGGTGAAGTATAAAAACATCAAAGGGTCATTTGGCACATTAAAGACACACAAATTGATTTTGGCACAAGCTTCCGTGGATTACAGTCCACTTCAGCAGATGCATGAGGTGTTATCCTGAGTTGCAGTTTCCTGGTTTGAGAGGCAGGGAGATGACATTGTAAACTGTGAGGTTAGTAGGAAAAGGGATGCAGAAAAGCAAAGGTGGTGATGGTTATGACATTAAAAGTGGTTGATAAAATATTGATAACACAGACATCCCGGTAATTGGTAAACCAATTAGCACATGTTGTGTGGTTAATGAGTGATAATACATAAACAAGCAGATTGCATTTAAATGGGGTTAAATCCTTCACACAGGTGAGTTGCACTGACTTCAGTCAAAATTGTTTGCGGTTGTTGCCTGACTGTGTGTGTGTGTGTGTGTGTGTGTGTGTGCAAAAAGTATATTTGCCCTACTTTTTGGTCCAGAGACATTCAGAGAGGCTTACAACTAAAAGCCATAAATAAAACCCATAATTGGTAACTTTTTTTAAAAGGAACATAAAATATTGTGTGTAACAGCATTTGTGCGATGAGGGCAACTCTTGGAAACATTGTGTGCTGCAGTGGGATGTTTGGAGCCCACAAGTATGACAGAACAGGATTTTCTCAGCGACATTTTCTAAAAGAGAACAGACTGAGGTAATTTATAGTTCTCGCTCTGTGTATGTATCTGTGCCTTATTTGTTTAGTTAAACAGTTTATATACTTTTTAGCATCTCAAGTCTCTAAACAGTGCAGAGTGAGGTTAAGAAGATGCAATAAAGATAAAAACAGTGGAAAGTGAAAACAGTTAAAAATAACTGCGCGATCAGAAAACTTAATTAAAAGGGCTGCTGATTTATTTCTTTTTAATGACTTCACCAGGCACTGGAAGTTCAGCAGAGAGGGAGCTATTCTGATTTCAGCCCGGAGGGAGTTCCATAGAATTAGGCCCACAATACTGAACACATGCTCCTGGTGGATATGAACCAGGCACCAAGCCACAGGGGACCCCTGACTCCCCTGAAGACCTCCATGATCATGTGGGGATATGCGGGTTAAGGTGTCCTGAACCAAGTTGTTGATGGCCTTGCAAATTAATCCAAGAACTGTGAACCTGGCCAAGTAGCCTATGGGAAATTAGTACAAGCTTTTTGGCCAACTGAGTTATGTGCTGGCTCTACTCCATGCCCACCAACTGTGTGTGTGGGAGAAAGAAGAACTTATTATGACTACAGTCGTACCTTGAACACCTTGGGAGTCGAACGTTTTGGCTCCCAAACGCCACAAACCCAGAAGTGAGTGTTCTGGTTTGCGAACGTTCTTTGGAACCCAAACGTCCAACAGGGCTTCTGCGGCTTCTGATTGGCTACAGGAGCTTCCTGCAGCCAATCGAAAGCCGTGCATTGGTTTCCGAATGTTTTGGAAGTCGAGCAGACTTCTGGAACAGATTCTGTTCGACTTCCGAGGTACCACTGTATATTCAGGTATAGCTTCCTTCCAATAAATCTGTTCTGAACAAGTGATGACCCAGAACTCCATATGGCTGATCATGCAGTACTAGTTACACAACCAGTATTTGGTGTGTGTTTTGCTGCTGTTTTTAGACTTTATTTTTCTTGCTCTTGGAAAGAAGATGAGGATAGTCTCCATCTCTGCATGATATACAGAGCCATGGGATAAAGCCATCTTGGAGTTGGAGTTCCTGGCTGCTGCTCCGACTGGCCTTGGTTGTTGTCCTGGCAACAGTGCTTTCGCTGGCCTTCCTGGTCCATGCAGAGGCTGAGTTAGGACTCTGCTGCAGATCTAGGCTCGACTAGTTTCTACTATCTCCATTCCCCTCCCTCTGCTATATTTTACTACAGCCTGCAAGAGGGACTCTGGAGGCTTCTTTTATTCATTATTCATTTCAACATTTCCTTCTTTGCTCTTCAGCTAAAAAAAGGCTCCCAGAGTAACTTACAGATCACTTTTTTTTAAGGCAGTCTCTGCCCATAGGCTTACCAGCTTAAAAAGACACCACGCAAAAGTAAAATGGATTGGGAGGAAAGATGAGAATAAGCCAAGTCTTAGGGCTTTTCCACACTTTGTCTCCACTCTT